TTTATAATTTTTTAAATTTTAATTGATTTATTTAGTTTAATTTAATTTAAGTTAATAAAAATAAAAATAACAATAATTGTAAAATTGGGTAAAAAATATTATTTAGATTTAATTGAAATTGATTTAAGGAAAAAGGGGTGAAAATTAGGATTCTGATGGTATTTTTGAAAAGAAAATCGGAAACCGGGGGTCAAAACGCAATTTAAAAAATTGCGCCCCGTCAGCGCCACGTCAGCAGCCACATCAGCGGCCCAGTCAGCAGTCCTGGCCAACCAGGACCTGCCGCGTGTCAAGACCACGTCGATCCGAGAACGGACCGCGTGGGCGATCCGCGTGCGCGCGATCGGACGGCCCAGATGCGTCCCCGCGTGCACGGACGGTCCAGATTTAATCAAAATGGACGGCTATGATCAAAAGGCAAAAGGGTATAAATAAAACCCCCACACCTGACCACAAAAACCCTAGCCGCCTGCCCTCGCCGGAGAAGACGAACCAGACGCCGGAGGAGCCGGCCGCTGCCACCTGTCGCCGCACCGGGGAGTTTTTCGACCGCCGATCGAGGTAAATTTCATACCCCCAGCTCGTTTTTCAATGCTGAATTTCCTTGTAGCCAAATCGGAGCCAAAATTCTGGCCAAACGATCGAAAAATACGGCCAAAACCTAGCGGCGCCGCCGCGCCCCTCCTCGGTTTTTGCCTCCGATGAGGCCCTTCCCGGCCTCCGTTTGATACAATTTTTATATTACCGTGATCACCATTCTTCTCTCTACAGGTTGATCGGAGCCAAATCACCAAAACACGAACCTCGCCGGAGAGTCGCCGCACCCGAGAGCACTGCCGCCGGTAAGCTTCGGTTTTTCGTAATTTTTTGGCCCCCCGAGGGCCCTAGGGTTGTTTTATCGCAGGGACCGATGCAAGTGTGGCCGAATTCGGTCAGAAACGACCGAAAACGACCAACCCGAGGCGAATCGCCGTCGCCAGAGCATGGCGGAGCCGCTGTGCCGAAATTGTGATATTGGCCGAAAGGGGCCTTGGATCTCATTTGGGATTTTTTGGGACACGTGCAGGTACCAGTAGTGCGTTTCAGTTCCCTGGAAAAAATTCAGGAAAAATTAGGTACAGCCTGTAGGCGCACTGTAGAGCCGTATTCGGACCCCGAATCAAGTAAGGATTCCTCACCCTATTTCCTATTACGGTATTAAAGTGCAATAAATGATAAAATGGTATTTCATGAATCAATAGCTGTGTGAAATTGTTTAAGGTTGCTAATGGAGCCCGAGTCTAGTGCATTTGTCGGTCAGTTGTTGTTTGTTCTATTTTACAGTTTTAAATACAATATGATGTCTGATGTTTTTATTTCATAGTTTCGTGTGCATGTATCACTGTTTCATTGATTATGGACTGAATGACTGAGAACCCGATGTTGTGTGTTGTCTTGTTGGCGTGAACTACCGGTTTGCATGTTTGTGTGTGATTTGATGATGGTGACTAAAGAAAAAGGGATAAAAAGTTATGTGAATTGGCAAACGAATAATGTGGACAGCCTGACTAGGTATCTTGGGAGATGGTGGACGGACCGGTCCGTAAGGAACCCTATCGGGATTGTGGTCTCTCATACCGGACGGGGTATGGAGACCTTATGTATTTTGGCGCCCATACCGGACGGGGTGTGAGGACGGCCCATTTCACCCTCATACCGGACGGGGTATTGAGGTTTATAATTTTGGCGCCCATATCGGACGGGGTATGGGGACGGCCCTGGAATCTGATTACAAGTGTTAAGGGTTCACGGGTAGCGGGACCCCTATGGATCCCCATGGATACTAGTAGGCTGGTAAATGAGGAAAAATATGTCGTGTAATGATTGAATTGCAAAAGGCGTGATAAGTATTATGTTATACAGCTCATATGATTTTATAATGATGATAATGTTATTGCTTTCGTATATTATTTTATAAATTTCACCGAGGTAAGTGGATAGTAAAGGATTTTATTATTGATAAAAGAATTTGCTGTAAATTATGCTCCATTGGCCTTTTTGTGTTTTCTACCCACCTTTACCTTCGTGACGGTGAGATAGTGTGATGTCTTTACTGGGCTGGTGTAGCTCATTCCTTATTTAATCATTTCAGATCAGGAAGACATTGTTCCCGAGCCCGTTCCGCAGGAAGATGGCGAAGGGGACGCCTGAAGACTCCGTAGTTATATTTATAGCTTTTATTTTCGAGTTTCTCTTTTAGTTAGTTTGTTCTTTTATACTTTGAGCACGTTTTTGGTTTTAGTGTAAGGGATGTTAATCAAAATTTTTATTACGCTTCCGCATTTGATCTTTTTAATACACATATTTCATTTTAAAATTCCGGGGCCGTTACAGTTGGTATCAGAGCCGCGTTTCCTCGGACCCATCCCTTACACAATAGTGCCTTAGAGAAATACTCACCGATAGATCGTTACTCAAACCATTCCTTGTGAATGCAGGTACACGGAAATGAGGAGAGGAAGGCCCCCACTAAACCGAGCAGCCCAAGATAATTCGCTTCGGGAGGATTTAGACAGACTATTTGAGATGGTGGAAGCTCTTGCAGCTGCCCAGCAAAGGCGAGAGGAGAGAAGGGAGTTACCCGGACCTCCTCCGTTATCGCAGGTTGAGCCCCCGCTACAGCAGGCTAATCTCGAGCCACCCCAGCAGGAGCCTGCTCCTCCATAGTACCACCCGGCACCACAGCCGCGGTACGACCCGGTACCACAGCCACGGTACCACCAGGCACCACCACAACACATTCCAGTACCCCCACCACATCAGCAAGTGCCACCACAGGGCCCCCCAGTTCACCCTCAGCCGGCCCCAGTCCCTCTACCCCGGGATCCCGCTCCTTCCTTGATCGACCCTGGCTTCATAGAGAGGTACAGAAGACTGAATCCTTTTACTTTTGCAGGGGGATCCTCTTTTGAAGAGGCCCAATACTGGCTGGCAGAGACCGAAAGAGCTTTTGAAACCTTGGGAGTAGTTCCTGAGCAGAGGGCTGCCATTGCCTCCTACATGCTGGTAGGGGAAGCAGTACGCTGGTGGGAGCTCAAGCGGACCACCTTGCCCACACCAGCTACTTGGGAGCAGTTCTTAGCGGCCTTCCACGCGGAGTATCTCCCTAAACACATCCAACACCTGAAGGAAATGGAGTTTGCTCAATAAGTATCTTTGTTGACTCTATTATGTAACAATGGAATTCACAAATACTTACAAGATTATTGGAGACTTAAAACCCAAACATCTTGCTAATACGACTAGCCTCGCCCGTGGTAACATTGTGAGAAAAAAAAGTAAGTGTTTTGGTCGCACTCACTTTGTGGCCCGAGCTTGCACAGAAATCCTCTAAGACTGTCTTTATAACCTGAGCTTGGTCCTCAGTGGCTTTCCCAATGACTATCATGTCATTCGCAAAAAACAGGTGTGAGATGGCAGGACCCTTCTTACCAAGGCGGATCGGTTTCCACGTACCATTTCTTACCTAGATGTTGATGCAAAGTGATAGTCATTTCATGCATAACACAAATATGTAGGGTGAAAGCGGATCCCCTTGATAATTCAATTCTTTTAATTTGAATAATCACAACAAATTTATACACGACATGTTATTTCACGAGTTAAATAAATAGATAAATATATTAAATTAAAAATGAAATTGGAAATATGGGCAATTGATAATAGCCTGCCAGCCCAGCTCAACCCAAAAAAGTAGTCCATGACTACTAAAACTAAAATGGTTTAAAAATAATTTGGAAATAAAAATGGGCCTATAAGGCATGGGCCGGATAAGAGGTCAACTTTATGCTACAAATTAAATCAAATCAGAACAACAAAAATCAAACAATAGTGAATTTTCATTAGGTGGAAAATAAGCAACTATGTATTAACATTCCAAAACTGAATCCAATTTATTTCATATCGAAAAGTAATAAGACAACCGTGGCAGAATGAGTATATACATATATATATATATATATATATTGGTATTGTAAACAATTGTGCAAAGAAAAATAATTGTGAGTGTATCAATATTGGTCTTAGGGAACTTTTATTTTATACATAAATTAAGAAATATAAAACATTTATATAACATAAATTAAGAATATGATGGGATAAAACATAAATTAAGAAATACAAACAAGGAAGGATTCAAAGGAGCATACCATGTGAGACTCCATTGATTCTCCAAATTCTGAATTAAAATTTACTTTTAGAAATACGTTTTTTTTATAATTACTTAATTAGGCTGTTGCTGAACAGGGCTCTGTTGTCTGTTTTTGAGCTGGGACAGTGAGTGAGGGTGGCAGTTCCATAGAGATTCTCATTCGAACACCAAAAACTTTGTGCACAAAATAATAAATAATAATAATAATAAAATTTGATTAATTTAATATATTATTTCCTTTTTCAAAAGATAATTGTTAACAGGGACAATTTTAATGTTTATTCAAAGAATAATATAATTTATTCAAATACACATTATGTAAAATTTTATCATTTTTATTATAAATATTTTTTTTCGTGATTAAATTAAATACAAAATCAC